TGGAGGGTTCCCATCCTGTCTTTGCACCCTGGGGCACAGCCCCATTACCTCCACTTCCATGAAAGCTGGCAAATAAGGCAGAGCTGGCTCTGGTGGTGTTAAACCCCTCCTGCGTGTGCCCATTGTGTCTCCACTCCACCAGCAACTCTGTGCCATGGGGGCACATGGCTGCCACCTGGCAGAGGAGCCCTGCTTGCCAAAATGTGAGTTTTGGGGGGCACTTAACAGGGCTGTTGGCACAGGGGTGGGTGCAACCCTTTCTGCCACACGTCCTGCCTGGTCAATAGTGGATACTGTTGGTCCCACAAGATGCTGTACTTGGTTTTGGGGGAACTACTGCCCTTTTCCAACCCTGTTGCGACTGTGCCATGGCCTTCATTAGGGGATTTCTCATGTCAGGTATGGTTTGGGGTCCTGTGGGATGCTGCTGTGCTGGGTCTTAGCATGGGCTGGGCTCTTCAGGGGTGCTTGGTGAGGTCTAGAGCATTTTGGGGGTGAAAAGCACCTTGTAGGGTGCCCCATGGGGCTGTTTCCTGGGGGCAGGTGCTGGGGGGAAGGGGGACAGCATGTGCCTGTTCTGTGCTCGGTCTGTGTTGCTTCCTTGGGGAGCTCATTCCATGATGGAATTTTGCTGCTCTCTGTATTCAGAGAACAGCCTGGTGTACTGAGTCTCCCTTTAAATGCATGATAAATATATTTTTCCCAGTGCTGTTGGGAAAGCAGGAACCCTATCTAGGTCTCCTCCTCTCCCTCATATGTCCCAGGGGTGAGGGCTTGCTCCTACATCCCTTGCATCTCTCCTCGGAGCAGCTTACTGAGGTGGGAAGGGCTCACAGGGAAAACTGAGGGTGAATAGAGCAAAAAACTACTACAGCAGAAGGTAACAGGCTCCAACGTGGAACTAGGAGCAGCTGCATCCTGAGAGGGCTCTGTGACTGGGCAGGGAACATGGGATATGCTCCATTCCTCCTTCCAGCACTGAGCATCCACGGTCCTTCCTGTTCCTCCTGGGATGAGCAGGGAGGGATGAGATGGGGGCTGGCAGGGCTTGTTCCCATGAGCTCCTCAGGCTGGTCCAGCCTTGCTCCTGTCAGGAGATATGGGATGCACATGCAGTGCTCTGGCTGTGCAAAACAAGTGTGGGGTGGTCCCAGGAGCATCTCCAGATGGAGCTTCTTTGGGTTCTGCTTCACAGGCAGTGGCATCTGAGGGGGATGGGCAGGGGCGTTTGGTGCTCGGGACCTGGGTGATAGGATGGTCCACCTCCATGCCCTCCTGAGCTCCTGGAGACTTGGGTGAGGTGCTCCTGGTGATGCCTTATGTCTCACAGCCTTCTTCTTTGTGGGGAGATATGTTTTGAGTAAGGAATCCTGTAAATAGGCTACAGGGAGACCTTAAAGCCCCTTCCACTGCCTAAAGGGGCTCCAAGAGAGCTGGAGAGGGACTTGGGACAAGGTCCTGCAGGGACAGGACAAGGGGGAATGGCTTTCCACTGCCAGAGGACAGGGATAGATGGGATATTGGGAAGAAATTCTTCCCTGAGGGTGGTGAGGCCCTGGCACAGGTTGCCCAGAGAAGCTGTGGCTGCCCCATCCCTGGAAGTGTTCAAGGCCAGGTTGGATGGGGCTTGGAGCAACCTGGGATAGTGGAAGGTGTCCCTGCCCATGGCTCCTATAAACTCGGTTTTATAGGAAAAGAAGCAAATGACTGACCTTTTCTGGAAAGCCTATTTTGCAGGTGAGGGGGGAGCAGTCCTCAATACTGTGGTGATGGGAGCTCTCAGTAAGGAGGGGCTGGGGGTCTGTCCCCAGCATTTCCACCAGGAGCAGACAAAGGATGAGCTTATTCTTAGTAAAGGTTTAATTACGGGTTAGCGAAAGGGTTGTGGGGCCATGTATGGGGAGATGTAAACAACCCCCTGGCTGTCCTTAATGCCAGGGGATTTGCCAAGGCCAGATCCTGGGTGAGGATGAGGCTGGAGGATTGGGGTTTTATTTAGCAAATCCCCCTCCACGCTGCTCGCCCGCCCCGGGGCCACCGTGTCCCTGCGGCCGGGGGCCAAGCCGGGCTCCTCCGCTCTGCTGTCACATGGACCTCCAGCATGACTGTGCTGGGATATGAGTAATGCACTCCGGTGACTCATTTGCTGCCTCTTTATTTTTTATTTTTTTTTAGTCTTAAGGCCCTTGGCTTCATCTGTTGCTGTTTGCTGGCAGTTTCCTGACGTGTCTCCTTCAGGAGCTGCCCAAGATTTCCAGTGTTTTTGCTGAGAATTGTCCTTGTGTCAGTTAGAAGGGTTGGAAATAATTTGGAAATCTGTAAATATCAGTTTTACCTTGAGCAGAGAGGGGCTTGCTGGCACACTGCCCTCCCTGGGGACATGGGTGTACTCTGCCAGGGACCTGGCTGTCCCTGTGCCACCTGCCTTTGGGAAGAGCCCATGCCAGGAGCAGGTTTGTGGTGCCCTTAGTTTGGGGTTAATTTTGCCCTGAGGAAGGTGAGTTTCGGTCTTGCCACATGACAGGAAGGCTTTCATAAGGCCAAGAACATCCTGCAGAGCCAAGGAAAGCTGGAGCTGCACTGGGATGAGCAGTAGCCGAGGGATCTCAGCTGTGCTCAGGCAGCAGGTGCCAGTGGCAAACCTGCCCAAACCCAGCACTGAGTGGGGCAGTTTGGTAAAAAAAACTTATTGACCCATTGCCCAGCCTGGGAGGGCATTTGTAGGGAGGTATCATGGTTCTTCTTACTTGGTTAAGGAATATCAGCCCTGTGGAGCATCACAGGAGCTGTGATGCTGTGAAGCTGTGGGTCTGTCCTGGCTGGCAGTGGAGCCACTGGGATGTGGGATCATAGAATCCCAGATTGGTTTGGGCTGGAAGGGACCTTAAAGCTCCTCTTTTTCCACCCTCTGCCATGGGCAGGAACACCTTCTACTATTCCAGGTTGCTCCAAGCCCCATCCAACCTGGCCTTGGACACTTCCAGAGATAGGGATACAGGGACTGTGCCCTGCTGTGCAGCAGCTGTATGAAGTTTTGGAAGATAAGTTATTTTAGTGTGTCCAGGAGGGGTTTGGACACTGCAGGTGTGTGCTCATCACTGGGGCATCCTGCCATGTGTGCCAGCCTGGCTCCTTGGGGAGTTCTGGAGTTGGGCTCAGGGGATAGCAGGGTGACATTCAGTGCTTTTTGCTTGCCCTGGGATTACAGCTGGAATTCCTAAAAGCACTGGGCACCCTTCCCTGTGCTGGAAGCACAGGCAGTGCAGGCAGGTCACAGGAGATCCTTGTGTGGATTAAGGAACCATCTGTTAAATAATCCCATCCCTTTTCCGGGTGCTGTGGCATTTCTCACCAGCTGGGGTGGGTGAGGGCTGTGCTGGAGACACTCTATCTGGAGACCCTGTTGTGGTGCTGAAGCACATCTCCTCACTGGTGTATCCACACCCTTGGAGTTGCTTGGCTTTTAGATTAATTTTTAAAGGTGGAAAAATATTTAGGGTTTTTTTAATTGCAGAAAAATGGGGGGAGGGGTCACGGGGGGGGACTGATGTTGTTTGTTGGGTTTTTTTTTAATGGAGAAAACCGTTGTTTTTTGTTTTAATGGGGAAAATTATGTGGGTGTTGCTTTCCCTGTTTGTGAGTGAAGTCCTGAAAAACACATGTGGCTGACTGGGATGATCCTAAAGATGCTGACACTCAGTGAGAGGCAGAAGTGAAGTTTCCATTGCTGATACAAGGTCACGTTGAAAAGCCACATTTGAGTGCGCTGAAACGGGCTGATTGTCCCTAAAACGCCACTGTTGTGCCCAGCAGGCAGCAGAGAGGGGGAGGCAGCTCATCCATCAGGCAGGTTGGTGTTGATGGTCCTAATCGCGGTTTTTGCCGGGCGCCAGAATGCGGTAGTGCCCTCGGAGAGAGATCCTGGTTGTCCCCTGGGATGAGGCTTTCCCTGCTGTCCCTTGCAGCAGTGGGTGCTGTTTGGGATAAGGATGCCAAAGATGCACCTTCTGCTCCTGCAGCCAAGAGTGGGAACTGCTTCAGGACAAGAGTGAGTTTTACAGTATCTTTCCTCCCAGCAAAAAACCCAAACAAAACCACAAAAACAATAACAACAAGGAAAAAAAAAGAAAAGGGGAAAAAATCCAGAAAACAAAACAAACAAACAAGAAAAAACTCAAAAAAACCAATCAAACAAAAAAAGCTTGGACTCTTGGAGCTGGTTAAAGATCTTACATTTCCTTGGATAATCCCGGGAGTGTCCCAATAACTCCTACATTGGCATTGCCCGTGCCTCCAGCCGGGCCCTCCCTGCTCCTGCAGCAACTCTGAGAACTGTTTTGAAGGTGGCGAGGGTCGCACACCCCGTCGGGGCTGGCAGGGGCTCGGGGAGGCTGGATGCTGTGGCTGGCAGAGAAATGGGGTGACAGGGTGGTGCTGGGTGGCATCTCTTCGGGCATCAGCTGATGAGGGGACGTGGAGGGTCCCCAGGCAGAGCCTGGCTCGGCTTTTGCAGCCCCCCCCGCTCCCTCCCCAGCCGCTTTTGTTCCCCGCTCCGGAGATGCTTAGGCTTCTCTTCATGCGAAATTAATTCCCGGGCGCTGTTAGGAGGCAGTCGGGGAGAAATTTCTTCCCGCATCATCCTTTCGGGGCTAATTGCTGGCGATGTGACGTCAGCCGATGGATTTCTCCCTTGAATGGCTGCGGGAGAGACGAGGAGGGCCCAGCACCCGCGCTCACAGCCCTTGTGCCGGAGCGAGCTCCGCTGCCTTATCCAGCCGGGATTGATTTATTTTCCCCCTATTCCCAGCCGGGCTCCCCGCACGCTCCTAATCTGACAGCGCCCGGTAATTAATCTGGCTCCCCCGGCCGCTGCAATAGGATTAAGGGAGGGGAAGTGCGTCACGAGGTAGGAGAGGGGTTATGCTTTTGGTGAAAGTGGGGGGGAAAAATATGGGAAATAGGTTGGTGTGTTCCCGGGGGGTGTGTCGGGAGCGAGCGCGCATGTGAGGAGGTGCGGGGCGGGAGGCATCGGCTGCGCCGGAGCCGAGCCCGGCTCGTCCTCCCTTTCTCTCAGCATCCTCCGTGATGCGATCCTGGAGGTGATACAGGCACAGCAGCATCCATGGCCTGCCCTTAGCGCCAGCATTCCTGCTTTATCCCCCGTGATATTCTGGCAGCGAACCGAGCCCGGCGTCGGAGGCGTTTGGTTGGCGAAGGGCTGACGTTGAGTGGCTTGTAACCGGGATCGTATTCTCCTGTATTTTTTCAGGCTCCTTGGAAATTGAGGAATGCAATTCTGCCACCATGATGGAAGGTAGGTGATGAGCTGAGCGTGTCTTTCGGGATGGCTGGAGTTTGTGAAGCCACGGTGGAGGATGCACTGAACCTGTGTATGGGGATCCTTTCTCTTTCCTAAATAAAATAATAATAATAATAATAATAAAAATTAAATCCTCCCCTCCCCCTAATCCCAGCCCAGCCAGAGCTCCCTGCCTGCTGCCGGGGAGCTGGCGGATGGTGATATAATATCAAGCCCATCAGATTATTTGCAATTCCATCCCCAGCCCTGTGTAGGCAGCTCAGGGTGTGCAAACACTCAGTTATCCACGGACCTACTGGTTCCTCCAGAGCCCAGATCAGGGTGGGTTGGCCGGAATTGGGGATCCTGTAAGGATTATTTTATCCTCTGCCTGGAAACCCTGGTTCTCAGCCTGACGTGATGCACAGAGGATGAACTTGGGTGTTTTCAGACCTGGGCTGTGCATCCTGATGGAGTTTGGTGTTTTTAGCTGGATGGAGGAGCATCATTTCAGTAGGAAACAAGGAAATTGGAAGTTAAAGTGATTTTTGCAATGTCGTGGCACTGGTTTGGAGATGCAGGCTCTGGGGAAGGGGGGTGGGTGTTGGGTTGAGGCTTATTGGAGTAAAAAAGGAAATGTGAAGGAAATATGGGCTCAGGCACAAGATGCTTCAGGGAGCGTTGGGAGACTGTGTCTGATCCTGTGTGGGAAAAGCCTCTGGGCATTACAGGAATTTTATCCAATGCCGTCTGTCTCGACCGTATGTAAAGCTCTTTTTTTTTATCATTTATTTTTTTTAATGCCTTCTGGAGTAAAATGCAGGAAGGGATTACTTTAATTGCATTTTTTTTTAGCGGAATAGATACTTCAGGGCCAAGGAGACCAGAATATCTATATTTTTTTTTTGGTTTTATGGCCCGTTGGTGGCAGCAGCAGGGCCTGTCTCGGCAGAACCACATCCAACCTCGGGCTTGCAGCACTGCCAGCACATGAACCAGGCAGCTCCCGGCCTTCCCGAGATGACAGGCAGAAATCGGGCTGCCTCTTGGTGTGTCCCTGGAAATCAGGGTCTGCTGCCCTGCTTGAATTAACCTGGGAAGGCGTCAGGCTTCACGAAACCAGGACTTACTGTATTGGTTTAAAATATTTACCTAATCTTGGGAATTCGGGTGTAGTCATGGCCATGTGTGGACACACAGGAATGGCTTCTCCCTGGGTTTTTTTTCGTCTTAAGAAAATGAGTTTGGTTGTCCTTTGATATGAGGAAGTGCCTTCAGTGTCTTCTCTAATACTGATTAACAAAAGAGATTTTAATTTTAGCCCATGATATCAAACTCATCCTACCGTGCCGACAGACACGGCACGTTGGGAACCAGGCACAGCCTGGGCAAGAACAGGGTATTGTAGAGAATATGTCAGTAACAACGTGGCTTCTTTAAAAAATTCCTGTATTTATGAAGGAATTGATGTAGATAAATTGAAATTGGTCTGTTATAACCTTGATTTGGGTTATTTAATTGGTTTTGAGGCTGGTTGGGGGAAGTCACTTGGTCTTTTTAGGTTTTTTTTGGGATTTGGGTGTTTTGTTTTGGGGTGGGGTTTTTTGTTGTCTTTTTGTTTGTTTGTTTGTTTTATTTTTATTTTTATTCCTTGAGGATTTTTGCCTTGCTTTTGGAATGCCCACAATGTGCTGCTGTGCAGGAGCTTTGGCCACCGTAGCTGAGGCAGGTGGGGGCTGGCAGGAGGTGCCCAGCCCCATAGTGGAGGTGGCATCCAACTTGTTGTGCTCTGGCAGAGGTGGAATCACCTTTCATGAATCAGTCTTGCACTTGGAAAAAAAAAAATACTAGTCATAATAACTGACCTATTAAACTGCTTGAGATGTTGTTCCTCAACTACTTGATGCACACGAGAACCTAGAATGGAAATGAGAAAATTAGAAGAAATGATTACTGCTTTTGATGAGTTTTAAATGGTTGGAAGCTGGTTGTATTTGTGGAAGAGTGGAACTTCTATCCAAGATCCTACCGAACCAATGCACTTCTCAGAGGTGATTTACTTTAATATAAGAATGATTTTAACATGCTCAGTTTAGTTTGATCTGAAACTTTTAAACCCATACAAAATGCTGGGAGTTCGCTACAGTAAATATCTTAAAGGGGTTTTATTATTATAATGAATTATTTAAATGACTTGTCTGGCCAAAATGTTGGACACTGTGCTGGAAGTGCAGGGTGGAGCTAGACTGTGATAGTGCAGGGTGTGAAGCCACCCAGCATCACCCATGGCCAGCAGGATGAACCTGGCTCAGCTGATGGCTTTGGATCCTCTTCTTTGGAAAGAAGGTGATTTGGCTCATTGGGAATGGTGCAGAATGAGCAGTTTTTACTGGATATGGTCCTTATACTCATTTATATGGAATATTTCTTCGTTCTCTTGGTAGATGGGGGGAAAGAGTATGTTTTTCACTTTATGATTAAAAATCACAACGATACCTAAAATAACTGTGGATGCTGTTTTAAGAACCCAGTCCTTGCTGGGAGGAAACCAAACCTGTGCTGTGTGGTGTCTGAGCCACCAGAAGAGGATGGTCCTCCCCCTCCATGTCACGGGGGTGAATGAGTGTTGCTGTTGCCCACCATCTGCACTGGGGATGGACTTTCTGTGCTTGACCTTGCCTGAACACATGGAAAGAAGGTTTTGGGCATGGGGATTAAACCCCATCATGCGCTGGGAGAGGCCCCTGCATGTGTGGCTGTAGATGTGAGAGGTGTTTAGATGTTCCCTTTGATTAAAAAACAACTCTCCAGTCCTCGGAAATGCGCTGGGTGTGTCATTGAGGTGAACAGCCGAGCACAAGAACAAGTTTGTCTCCTTTTTTAATCCCTCTGTTGCTTCTCCAGTGTACTGAAGGCATTTACACAGCTTAATTAAGTTTTGAAATCACTGCTGCACCATGTCACTCGAGCCAGAAGCTCCACAATGTGTGGAGAAATTAGACAATGACGTGGCAAATGGGAGCAGCCAAGGGTATTTTGGAGAGGGTGGTTTCTTCTTCCATGAGAGATGGTCCCTGTGTTTTTCCAGACCCCAAATCAGATCTTTGCTGGGGAGAAGCCTTCTCAGAGTGGGAATTTCTCTGTAACTCTCTTCTTCAGGCTTTTCGCACCTCTTTCTGGGAAGTTTGGTCACTCAGGATATCCCATCCCTGGAAGTGTCCAAGGCCAGGTTGGACAGGGCTTGGAGCAACCTGGGATACTGGAAGGTGTCCCTGCCCATGGCAGGAGGAGGAATGAGATGAGCTTTAGGGTTCCTTCCCAACCTAAACCATTCTGGGGTTCTATGACTGGTCACATCCAAAATGATAAAAACCTTCTTGAATCATCTTTTAGCACCGGTTGTCTCCAGCCTTTTATTTTCATTGTGCTGAACAGATAGAATTGGGACCAGAGGTGTCTAATGTCACATTAAAAAGTCTTTTTCTTGATTAGGCAAGAAAATTGACTTTATTATATTTTAGGTGATCTTGTTTCAGTAAATGGTGTATTTGAATGTGCTCAGTGTTGTCTGTGGGACTCAGTAAGGAAATGACCTGGTAGAACAATTTGGTTTTTGAGAATGCCTCAAACCTGCTGGCTGTGAACAAAAATTCAGGCATGGTTGACAAAACCACCCTGGAAAATACATGGAGCCCATAAACACTAAATCAGGACCTGTATTTTTCAACGTGCTTTTTGAGCAGAAACCCATGACTGAGCTTGAGCTTGCAAAGAAAGTCAGGGCTGTGGTGTGGTTGGGCATCTCCATCTCTGTCCTCTGAGGTGGAAGGGGGATCTGCTGGAACCTTCTGCTGAACTGACAGGCCTGGCATTGGTGAGGAAAGTAGTTTTTTGTGAATGCAGGAGAAGATTTTTTGACCCTTCTGTCATGCCCAGCAAAGGGTGATGCTGAGTCTAAGCCAGTGGCTTAGCTCCCCTTTTAGCCCGAAGTGGGCAAAGGGATGACATCCCACCACTTCTCAAGTTCAAAGATGTGCATGAAGCTTTTTGGGATGTGTTTGAAGGGCTGATGCAGGGGGTGTCGAGTTTCCAAGGATGAGATATGTGGAAATGGAGGCTTGGGAAGTAAAAAGTTTGGAACAGGAATGAGAAGGAGCTCCATAGCTCTTGGTTTTGAGGGTTCAATAGCAGGACATAGGGCCAGTGTGTCCAGCCCAGAGCTGCTCAGGGGATGGTGATGTGCTCCCACACTGCGTTGTGGTGCTCCCAGAGATGTCTTGTGCACTCTGGGATAGACCTGGACAAGAAGAGCATCCCAATCAACACAGGTTGAATTTGTTCATCAACCTCTATTTAACTGGGGGAAAGAAACCCAAATAATTCCTTTTTTCAGGCATTCAAACCCTTCCCACTGAGCTGGTTTGGGTTTTTCAGCTCTAGTCCGCTGGCAGTATGTCCCTTCCTGCTAAGGGAGAGGAGGGAGCAATGGCTGCCGCTCAAAATTCACAAAGGCCCCACCCAAACCCTCTGAATTTGGAAAATGTTTTGTACTGGGGCTGGTGGTACTTGCCAGTTAAAACCCGGATGGTGCCAACGTGGTGGTGTTGAGAGTTTAAACCAAAACATGGGCAAGATGGCAAAACCTGAGGTTTCCCTTGCACCTAAAATGTTCAGTGGAATGGAGGGGTGGAAGCAAAATGCCAACAGAGTTTTATTTTGAGAAGAAAGGATAGAAAATATGGGAAAACTCAACTGCTTCATGTGATGCAGGTCTGCAAAACTCCTCCTTGAAGTGAGCCCCAGTTTAAAATGTGCCCTTGGGCATCTCGAACTGCTGCCCAAACATAGTAATTTGGGTTTCTCTGCCAAGGCAGAAACTTTCTGCATGATTCATTGGCCTTACTCAGATTTTAAAGACACTGTAGAAAAAAAACACAGGTTAAATCAGGTGTTTAGTCACCTTGAACCTCCATTCCAGGGTATTCTGTTAAAGGTGGAAAAACATGGTTGGTGGA